AGGAAAGAAAAGAAAAGGAAAGGAAAGGGAAGAAAAGATAAGGGGAAAGAAAGTGGTTTGCCCCCAGCTCCTTCCGCTTCGACAGGACCCCCCCCCCTTTCAACTAATGTTATGCATCTTTATTCTTCTTAATATAAAAGATTTTTATTAAAAATAAAGAAAAAATGAGATCCCCCCTTCCTCTTCATCCTCCTACCCTTCCTCCTCCTAACCACCCTCCTCTTAAGGAGGCTTATGCCTCTTGCGTTTTGAACTACGCCTCACGCCTCTAGGTAGTGGAACACCTTGCATCACGCCTCTAGGTAGTGGAACGCCTTGCATCACGCCTCTGCGTTTTAAAACATTGGCCCAAATTACATCGGATTACAACTTTGCCCAAAACAGAAGAGACCCATTAACTCCTTTTGCTAATACATCTGTTATCTCATTTGCAGTCCTTTTTTACCAACTTTTCAGAACCTGTGGGACAAGGCAACTCAGTGAGAGCAGATCTGTCGGCTCTGATTCAAGGCCTTGACCTCTTGAAAAGGAATGACTAGAAGAATATGGAGGTGGAAGGGGACTGTCAAACTGTTACTCTGGATGAAGAAGCAAAGAGAAATCCCATGGACCTTCAGAGCTTTGGTTAGAAAGGCTTGGATCCTTAGGAAAAGTTTAAACAAATTGCTCAACTGGGTTCCTAGGAGTGCCAATGCCTTGGCAGACTCTTTAGCAAGAGCTGGGGTTGTCAGAGGTCAGCTTGGTTCGTTGTCTTGGGTCAGGAATTAATTTGCAACTCTTCCTGTTGGTTTATTTGTTTTCGGTGTCTTGTTGCCTGTTTAACTCCTCCGGTGTGAGCTTGTCTTACATGCCAGTCTCAAGGAGGGTTACATCAGGTTGGCAGCTGGCACTAAAACTTTTGCCAAACCCTCATAAATATGGACCCTGATTTGCCTTTTTGTGTAAATAGAATGGATTGGCAAAACAGGATTCATGTAGCTCACCCCATATAGTTGGAATAAGGCACAGATGATTTCTTGTTGCCTGTTTGGGCAACTTGGTGGTGGTTCTTGCACTCCTTGATCTGCTTATGGTTAATGAAATTTCGGTTACTTGTCAAAAAAAAGCATTCAGTTCATTCAACAATTAAATCATCTATAAATCAAAAATACCAAAGCAGATACTAGTCACAATACCAAGGACTCAGACCTTTCCAATTGGGGTCCGGGTGTCTTCTGTGTAGAACGAAAGAAGTCCTCTCTAACTCACTCAGTATCCAGTAGGGGTTGTTAATCTGTAGGCTCTGTTTGTTTGCAATGCAAATCTGAACCAAATACAAATTTCGTACCTGATTCAGTTTTGCAGCTGTTTGTTTGCAATCATAATGCAATTTTTTGTACTTTTTATCTCATTTGCACTTATTAGTAGTGCAGTTTTGCATCTCAAAAACTAATGAAAAATTTCTACCACCTTCTTCCTACCTCAATTCTCTCTCATATTTAGTTGGGAGCACATCATCTTGCTTCCAACCTTACCCTCCTCCTACCTCCATTCTCTTCCAATATAAGGTGGGGACTATGTTATTTTATTTCTCACAAACAAATAAAGCAAAGTCAAATCTGAAGCAAAAGTAAATCAGAATGTACACTCTGACCATTTGCACTCCCATACACATTTACGCCAATGCAAAAGAAATTTGCACTGCAAACAAACTGAGCCATAATATCAAAGTGGAATCTGGTTAGTGGCTGATGAATCCTAATGACAAAGACCATTAATTTTGTTAATGTAGTCTGTTTCAATTATCCATTGACACCATAAATTATCTATGGTAAAAACGCATACTAGTCATGATGACATAGACACCAACAACAAATTTTATTGTTGAAGAAAATGCAGTAGGCTTAACGCATAACAGATCTGAAAGTTCAATACCATGGTGGATTGTGATCCCACAAAAGCAACGGATCACCAAAAACATGCTATTTATCTCATCCCTTCCAATAAAGAACTGCCTAAAATTGAATGTGTGGTTGTGCAAACCAAGATTTCCTGATAAAAGAAACTATTAAACGGCTTGTGATTTAAGCCCCATACATGACCATAGATCTTCTTAATTAAGAATCACCAAAAAAGCCATAAACCTACAAGGCTACAACTCTATATCCTTGAGAGAATCCTCCATATCTTTGATATGCTCCTTTATTAATTAGGAGCAGAAATCAGGCTGCCCTTATAGGTTCCTGATCTCTATCTCACCTCCTTGAAACCTAGTGCATGGAGGGAGTTGAGTCTTCTTATTTGTAGACTCGGAAATAATGTAGACACGAATTTTCATGTCAGTTGTCACCAACAACAGAAAAGTCATATCATAAGATTAAATTTGTCATTCAGTCCATTATTCAGGTTAGTTCCATCGGATTAACTTCCGTCTTTCATTATTATAGTCAGATCCCGCTTTCATACAGTAAAAGTTCACATTCAGTAAGGTTGCAGCAAAATCAGTTCTTAATTTGTAATGAATGAACGAAGTAGTAAAAAATCACATACACAGAGAAAAAATGGACACTCTTCAGAACCGTTATACACTGATATCCAGTATCAAAACATGGTACAGGAATTGAAGTATAAATTTACAATGTTTTTCGAGAATTACTACTTACCCCTTATAGACATCACCAAAGGATCCTTTCCCGATCAGCTCCACAGAAGTGAATCTGGATCCAAGTGTATCCACTATTGCCGCCGTATCATCCATATCAAGACACAAACGCTTTCCGTCCTTACCACTTTAAAGAAGCTAACGCACGAGAGAAAGCTCCAAATCCAAGGACACGAGAAATCCAGCTCAAATTTCTGCAGACCGTCAAGAATCTTCTAGGCCCTCGTCCTCATCACAACACAGCATCAACATTGCCTCCGACACCCCAGAACCAAACCGACCTAACTACAACTCAGCTCGAAAGACCGGACTCTGAAACAGCATTTGCAACACTAGGATCAATCAACCAATGGCTTGTTCCAGCAATTCGAAATTAAAAGAAACAAGTAAGGAAATGCAAAATGCATGCCTCACTTGGACTCGAAGAAAAGCATAGATTTTTAAATCATTAACTGATTAAATTAAAACTTTGGCGGGTAAAACATAACAGTGTTGAAACGACGCCTCACCAAATCTGGTTTACAAGGAGAAAGCGAAAGAAGCATCGGTATTACTCAAGCAACCGGGCCCTGAAGTTAGGGTTTTAGAGAGAGAAAAGAAGCTGAGATCGTTATGCATATTGAGCAGCCACGAAATTTTGAGTACGCAAATCAGTAGAAACTTGCCTGAAAAAGAAATGAAAACAAAGATTCGAGAATTAAAGCAAGTTAGTGTTGCTGCTGTTGTTTGTGCTCTCGTGGTGGATTTATTGCAGCAGAGAGAGAGGCAATCTAGAAGATGTCAAACAAGAGACCTGGCAGTCAAGCACTAGCAGGCAGCAGCCATGGATCTCTTTGCCAGTTTGCTTCCACTTCGGCGTCGCATCAAAGAGACTTTTGGTTTTGGCGTTCAGAATTTCGAGTCGAGTAGTTCTTCTCTCTCTCTCTCTCTCTGGGCTGGGCTGGAATTATTGATCAACGGAGGGGAATATTTATGTGCCGGATGGGAGGATGGCAATTTGCATCAGGCATGGTCCCACATCTAATCGTTTAGCATCGGTTCCGAATCTTCCGATAAGAGAGCTGAACGTTGAAAAATCTGACGGACAGTCGTTCGATAATTGCGGCCCCCACTAGAAACCCGTCTGCTACGTACTGTTTGGTTCGATTTCACAAGTGAAAATTGAAAACAGCTACTGAACCGAATAAAGCTTATAGATATAGTTATACTTATTTCAATGCCATTGCCAATTTGCCAGCTACACACTTGATGGAAAGAATGGAAAGCTCAGGGGAGCACATGAGAGAAATTCCATCCGCTTCGTGTTTGTTGCAAGTCTATTTGTATTTATTAGTTGCACGCAATGTGAATGGAAGCAATTTCCATTTTTCAAAACTGCAATTCTGTGTTTACATGTAAAATGGTTATAAAAATATAACCACTTCCTAAAAGCAATTTCCATTAGGCCTATTGTTTTTACCAAAAAAAAGAATAACATGGAAACTTATGGCTATAAATGTCTTAATATGGACTTCATTATTTTTAGAATGAAAAATGGATCCACGGTACAAGGTAATTTGTAGCATGAAAAATAATTGTGCCTCATCTGCTTATTTTCATTTTTTTTTATTAGACGTATTCAAAAGTTATTCCCATTGTTGATATGAAAATAATTCTTTTTTTCTTTTTTTCTTTTTTTTTGGGTGGGTGGGGGGTGAGGGGGGACACAATTGATTTGTGGCAACATTTTCTCATTTTGGTCATTTTTATCCATTTTTAATTTGTCGAAGAATGAAGGTTGAACCAAACATGGCTTTGACTTCTCTGTATTCATGGCTACAATTAATGTGACCTTGGACAGAAATTATCATTCTTACATTACATAGTACCTATATATATATTCATCAACCATCGAGGCTTGCTTTTTTAAACTCAATCAAACAACAAGGGTTAGGAATTTAAAAAAAAAAAAAAAAAAAAAGGTATGGAAAAGGGATTCATTTTAGTTACTTATGCCAATACTACTTATTTTCCTTTCTTTTTGTTAATTTTGAAAAAGAATGCTAATTTTACTACCTTAAGAAGGATCAGAGATTTATTTTCACCATCACTCTTACATGTGAAAAGACACAAATGCGCTTGATAATGCACACATGTAAAAAATCAATGAAAATAGATTTAATTATACTTTTTGTGAGAGCATGGTCGCATTCCTCAGTATGCAATTTTTTACAAAATCATTAATATTCCATTGGTTTACAAGCAATTAAACTATATACACATAGGGGGGGTGCAAGTTGGGCGGGCCCAACTCGAGCCCAAACCAGTCCAGCCTGAAATTTTACATGGGTTGGGTTTGGATTTTTTTTATTCTCAGGTTGGATTCGGGCCCAAGAAGTCTAGTTTTTTTATTTTTCGGGCCAGGCCTGGGCCTAACCCTTAGGTAGCTCGAACCCAGCTAGAGTCCAACTCAATTATACATATTCATACATGCATACATACATGCGTGTGTGTAAATCTTGCATACATTATATATTTACATATGTATACACAAATATTTGTATGTATATACATCTGTATACATATTTACCTATTTACATATATGTATAATTTTAGAGTGGGTTCGTTAACCAACCCGAGCTTGGCCCAGGCCCAAGTGCATCAAATTATAGTGCTGCCTGGCCTCGCGTTGAGAAGATCGGGCTTGGGCCTTAAGCCCAATTTTTTTAGGGTCAAACCTAGGTTGACCATAAACCCGACCCAACCCACCCCGACTGCACCCCTAGATACACACACATTTAATTCACTAATCACCATAAATTAATTAGGGAGCATCTCATACTAGAGCATGCCTCATGCAAGAGTGGTCATTTTTAGCCTGGTATAATCCTTTTAGAATAGATTTGCAATTAAGATCTATGTCCCAAAAAGACATGATACTGGAAGGGCTTTGACTAATCAAAAACCACACATGAAATTGATAAATAACCATCAAATTGGTTATAAGTTTTTTATGATGCCAACTAATTGGTTATAAGTTTTTTCTGCATCATGTCTTTCTAGTATCATAGTCGAACTCTTGTAAAACACATAATTTATAGGGTTCAAAACACATATTTTATCAGGTTAACTATGACATTGGAAAAACCTGATACCAAGAAAAACTTAGAAGAAATCAACCGGTATCATAAAAGTGGCATCCAATTAGGTAGCATTCATCAAAATTCACCGGAGGTTTTAATCTCTTTCGGTCTTTTTGACATCGTAGATTTATCCTATTTTATAGGATAAACGCCATATACCCCCATAGTTTGGGGTGTATCATTTCACTACCTAAACTTTATTTATTTATTTTTGCCACCCCCTGAGCTATGACAAAAGTAAGCAAATAACCACTTCCATTAATATTTTTATCAAGACAATTGATGGAAAATGTATATGTGCACATAACATGACCACTTATTTTTTAATGTCCAAATACCTTTCTAAATGATTTTTGTTATTGTCCTAACATGACAGATAATTTGTTGGACTGGTTAGAAGCATCCACATGACAAATAACATTTGACATCACACATCTCACCATGAGACTAGTATCCACGATAAAATTGCAACCCACCAAGCTCACAATACTATCCCAACTCCTAACTAGCCATTACAATTATACATTGGGGACTCCCAATGTGCAGTTGCAAATGGCTTGTTGAAACGGTGTTGGGAGCTTTTGTTGGTAGTAGATTCTTACTCGCCATGAAGATGGATGGTGTCAGATTATGTTGGAACTTGGAAGGGTTTGAGAATGTTGTTGGCAAGAACTCCCAAATCACAACCTATTTTCAAAAAAGATGATGAGGATGATCCAAGTGACCCACAATCACTTAATCTCTAACTTTCATTTGTTGTTAGTGTAGGAAAAAATGATTGGTTTCATAGCTAGTAAAACAACTATCAAACTCAGCTAATCCTCTCCCAGATTTGACGATCATAACACATTGCTACCAACAATGTGTTGAATATATAGAAGACATGGGCATGTTTATTTAAAAAAGAAGGTATTGTTATTTCAGTCATTTTGTATTGCCATTAATACTCCTAAACTTGTAATAGTTATAGTTCGCCCTTGTGTGCGCCTTAACATGCATTGTTTCTATATGGGTAAATTGCAAACTAGTACCTTGTAGGCTTGTACTTTGGGGGTAATCTCACTCTAGTACCTAATCTTTAAAATGTGCCACTACAGTTCTTGAACACCTGAAAATTACCACTTTATAACACCATTAACGGACAATATAGTGGATAATAAAATTACCAAACTACCTTTTGCTATGGTATTATTTGCTTTCCTTTCTATTATCTACCCCATCTTGCTTCTAGAAATTAGTTCATTCTTTAATTTCTCGTCAACCTCCTTCTTGACTACTATTCTTACTTGGGGTGAGCAAAAAAACCAGAAAACCGAACCGACCAAAAAAACCGACTGATTCAGTTCGGTTTCGGTTTGATGTTTTCAAAATTGACAGTTTTGGTTCAGTTTCAGTTAACCATTTAAAAAATCGACGGCTAACCAAACTGACCGATATATATATATATACAATAATATATTTTTATATAATATTATATATATTCTATTTTATTTTTTTAAATCTAATAAAAATGCTTGACAGTCTGAGAGTGTTCAGACTGTCGAACTAAGAGTCTAAGACTTTCATGTTTGCTAGTCTGGCAGACTGGCAGCCAGACTAGCGAACAGTCTGTCTGATAATCCGAGTCGTCTGACACCCACCACGTAGGGATTCCTTTCTTCCCCCCCCCTCTCTCTCTCTCTTTCTCTCTCTCAGACTCCCACTCTCCAAATTCCGGGTTCTGGCCTTCGACGTTCCATCCTCCAACCGATTCACTGACGGCCTCTGACACTGGCGATCCCTCCTACTTCGGCGACATTGCAGGCTCGGCTGCGGGTTAGAAGCTTTATTGCATCTCGGTGACACTGGCGAAGTGGAATCCAAGTTCTCTTTGACTGTGTTTTTCCTTTTTTTTAATTTTAAGGGCATAAAAAACCAAAAAACCAAACCGCGGTTAACCAGTTGCATCGGTTCGGTTAAATGTAAAAACCGAACATATCGGTTCGGTCCAGAAAAATTACCCCATGGTTCAGTTAATCGAACAGTGGGCACCCCTAATTCTTACCAACTCCATTCCTAGCTTTGCATCTTGCTTTAGTAAAACCAATCATAGAGGATAAAAAGGCCAAACATAAAGGAAATAGAGTAAAAGAGATAAGAGCAAAGTTTAGTATATGCAACTAAGGCCACGTTTGAAAACGATGCAAATGGAGTGTAAATCCCGCTTCAAGGTAAATTTGCACTCTAGCTCACTTTTGCCTGTGTTTAGCAACATTGCATTTATGCATTGACAAATGGCAAACCAATGCATATTTACATTGATAATAAGATGTAAAAATACATCAATAAAAAAGGAAGGGGATGTGGTTACAATGTATGTTGTTGGTGTAGGTGGAGAGGAGGCTTTTTTTGTCTTGCTCTTGCTTGAAAGACTTGTCAAACTTGGTAGGTGTTCTGCTTCTTGCCTTTGGCATCTTTAGTAATCTTCTTTGGTTTGGTTCTTTTATCTTTGTGCAGAGGTTAGTGTCTTGTGGTGGGAACATGGGCCGAGTTAGCAATTGATTGATAAGAGTCAAACAACTGCTTGGAATGGTTCAGGCAAATCTCATGGTTCAGTAAGGTTGCATTTGTTTGAGGTGTAAATTCAAATTTTACACCATGGAAAAAATGAACCAATTTAATGATCGATGGAAATTAAAACCGATTCATTTTGAAAATTTACACCTACCTTGTTTGGCTATCAAGGTGTAAATTCAGTGAGATGGTGTAGAGGAGGAGAAGACGATTTACAAATGAGGAGGGAAGCAGGGGAAGAAGAAGAAGAAGAAGAAGAAGAAAAAGGA